ACGAAACATGATGAAATGGAGAGCCTTAATCCGAGCTCTGTGCGACAAAATGCCAGTGCAGCGCAAGTTCCAGTTGTACCGGACCGTTATCCGTCCAGCAGCATTGTATGATTGTGAGTGCTAGCCTTGTACGCGGAACGAAAAACGCAAGCTTAGTGTCGAAACGAAGATATTACGTTGGACCATGAGAGTCACGCTAAAAGATTACATCCGCAATGATACTATACGAACTCGAATGAAAGTAGCTCCAGTTGTCCAGAAAATCCAGGAAAGAAGGCTATGAAGGCATGGGCATGTGCCCAAAAGGGAGGGAAAACTTCGCAAGGTCAGCCCTGGCAGTGGAAGCACCAGGCAAAAGACCGAGAGGTAGGCCCAATGTGGATAAATAGAATCAAGGTCGACTTGCGACTTAAAGGCTGCTGCATGACGAAGGCGCAATGGCGATATTAGTTGAGGTGCGCGAACGCGACGCGCGCGTATCCTCACCATTGTAGATCCCGCACCTCATGCGCTCTGCGGCTAATAAAGCCGCGTTCGCGCCCAAAGGTATTGCGCCTTCTTCATGCAGCAGCCTATAGAATCAACGATGATCTTGCCCCGATAAGATAATATAAGAGACATCTAACAAGAAAAGCATACCCTGCATAAGCGGGACACATGCAAGGATAAAAAAAAGAAAAATCTTTATGTTTCGTAATAGCTTGGGAATTTGAGCCAATAATACAGACAGACGGTGTTTGCTTGATTTGCTAACTCGGAAATGTTCTCACATTTCAAGTGCTGGAGGCCTGTTTCGTAGTTGCTGTGCGATCCTATCAATCTGCTAACTCAGTATCGATGTTCCGCTCAGACACAAAGCTACAAAGTCAGAAGTCCTCATGTGCTCTGTATGCACATTGTGTAGCAAAACAACCCTACTATCAATTTCGTAATAAGCTGTAGAAGTTCTGGTTGCCCCCTTTCTGCTAACTCTACTAAAAGAAAAGAAAAATTCGGTTCATGTTATGAACTCCCAGCCTAATCCTTATTCTTGTTTAAGAAAAGGTGCCAGATTTGTTTGTACTGGATTCTACTGCTGAAATTCTGTAAAAGAATAGTTCTCAGACAAGTTGTAGGCTGCTAGTAGATTCAGTTGTGACAAATTCCAAGACTCTTATTTCATTTGTTTCACTTACTTAGGAAATAGAGACCGGCAATCGGCAGTTAACTATGAAACTTGGAAAAAAGTTGGGCTATGTTTTTGAGAGTAGTAACATAACTCAGAAGAACACCAAGTCAATTTACTTTTCTTCTAACTATAGATCGTCTGCTCCTTTAACGTGTTCATCTTTAAGTCTTGATTGAACCATTCTAACAAAAAGCCAAATCATACTGTTTGCCCCTGTTCGTGCCTTTCAGCAGCTTCGAAATCCATATCATTACGGTCAAAAACGTTCATGTGGCTGAAGCTACTTACTACCACGAAAGCTTTCCAATTTATTGATCTTATTAGGTGTTGTTGCAGCTGAGTTCAAGATTGATACACAGCTTTGCTGGGCTTACGTTTCGGCATCTCCGCCTCCTTCAAAGCCTGTAAGAACGATGATATTTGCAATCTATCCCCTCAATCGCTCTATCTCCACCATATCGGTACAACCCAATAGCCGCCAGAGCCAAAAACAAACGAGATACGCGGAACAGTTAGCGCTTATCTTATAGCCTTGCAGTCAAGAGTAAGCGAACGCCCACGGTGAAGCGCCGCTGCTATGATATTGATATATACAAATCAATTCCCGCCTTGACCCGACCCCGACTCAGTAGGTCAGACCCACGAAGGGTCTGGAACGGTGCCAGCTCGTTTGTAACGGTAACGCATTCTTCCTTCCTACTTTCTTGGATTTCGCGATGCAGCCCAGAAGGCATCAAGAGTTTTGCGGGCTATTGTTTGGGGTTTGTGCGATAAGATTGTGACAGCCTCATCGAACGTAGCGTTTTCATGACACATCCTGCTGTGAACGCCTAGAGGTGTTGATGATTTGCCCTTCGCAAGTCCATCTAACAAGGGAAGGAAGGTTGGTCGAAGTGGCCTTTTGAAATGAGATGTAAACCGCCTTGTAGAGCTTGGAACGCTGACTCCAAATCTACCTTTGCTATCTGCTGCGGGCTTCTGGGCGACGAGTTATGAAGGTTTTTATGAGTAAAAATCTGAATGCAAAAATAGGGTAAAATCAGTCGTAACTTTTTCCCAATGTTCAAATGAGGCAGCAGCGAATTGGTATATTTGAATCGAGAATATTTGTTGCACCGAGTGACCTGACTATCAATCAAGCTCTATGAAAAATGTTACAACTGATTTTAGCCTACTCTTGCATTCAGATTTTTACTCACAAAAACCTTCATAACTCGTCACCCAGAAGCCCGCAGCAAATAGCAAAGGTAAAATTTGGAATCAGCGTTCCAAGCTCTACAAGGCAGTATACATCCTATTTCAAAAGCCCGCTTCGACCAATCTTCCTTTCCTTGTAAGTGCTATTTAATCCGGACGCTCACCGGTCGCCCTGTTTTGCCCACGTATTCCTCACCACACGTGACATAGACCCCCGCCTTCATGCAATCACCTGGTCTACCGTACGGACATACCATGCAATGGAAGTCGTACAAATGTTGTCGTAAGCACGTTTGCGTATCAGCTGCTTCTTGAGGTTAGGGGGAACTTGAATTTGATCCCAATTTATTCCTAAAAATCAGGTCTATACCAATACCCCAAAACTGCAGATAGTCATGCCACCATAGATGGCGTACTACATCATAGACTCAAACCTAAGTAAGCTCGCTTATTATCTTTTCCTTGCAGAACTGAGTTTTTCTAGAAAACACTATCGGAATTCATTATGTGCTCATAAAAGTCAGCTTTAATTACGCTGCTTACAAGCTATTCTTTGAGCGAACATTGCTTGTTTATCTACCTAATCACTTTTTAAACTCCACTTGTCGTAAATTTGGCGACATTGTCATAACTCATGTTTCAAATGAGCATTACGCCATTATGGTAGGTACGATCACGTTGATGGTCGCATGACACAAGCGGAATCCGACGCCTAATTCTTCTCTGTCGTGGGCGATAGTTGACCAGCGTTTTTGTATCGCACCAGTAACACAAGGAACGCTCTGAGGGACTATGTTTGCGGACTTCCTCGTTTGATAAAAAGAATAATTTATCCATCAGCTCGGCGTTTTCCCTCATTCGCGCTTGACGTCTAGCAGTGCCTTACAGCTTTGATCCACCTATTGTCATCGAACCCATCACGTGTCCAGCCCAACTGATCTTGCGGTGTGGCGTATATGATAGCCGTAATCTCGATCGTTAACATAGTGTGAAGCTTGTATTTCTTGCCCCTTTTGCTTGACTTGGAACACACATGATACCACTTTATCAAAAGCGCTCTAATAACACTCACCGCGTGTCCATCCTGCTTCTTCATAGACCGTGTTTTCAAAGCGTACGTCAAAGCAGAAAAAATCGTTGTGTTTGTGAAATTCGCGCTAAGTCGAGACTCTTAATTGACCTAATCAATTGCCTTGTGTGCTCTCCATGCTACCAGTTTCCTATGCTCAGTCCCATAGCTGAATCATTCATTATGCTGACATCCCGACATAGGTAGATGTACCTGAAGCATCCATTCGTATTTGCTGCATTCAGCGAGAAGGGAGCAACATGAAACCATTTGTTTCACATGAAAATGTGTTCGTCAGATTCTTGGACCAATCTTCCCATACCCGTCCCAAAATCGGGCAGCTCGTTTTGCTTGCGCGATGCTGGGTGTACGGCTATGTCAAAGCGAAGCCGGTATATATAGCTGCTGGCCGTCGACTTTCACGCACATGTCGTCCCATCTACTGTATCCACGATGTTAAGAGAAAAGATGATGTCCTTGTAGAATGGTTATGGATATTGATGCACTGAGTTGAATTAACTTCATAGCTCAAAGCGGCGATAAAGCTCTCAATAGCAAAACAAGAAAAGAACATCCGTTCATTAATTTTGAAACATTGTGCAAACCGGTTACGGAAGTGGACAAATATGTGCTTCAAGATACTAATCACATAGTCACAGTGCTTTACTATAAGTCACATACGCTTACTATACATGCACCACATGGGGTCATACTTCATAACTTGCCTACGTTAATGCGTAAATCTTTCATAGGACAGATTACGAAAATAGCAAATATTAGGTTGGTTCATAATTAATGCACGTTTTTTCAACTTTTTCTTCTAATGAAGATAATTCTTTTTCGAAACAATCTTTCTGCGCGCATCAAAAACTGTTGTAAACAGCAAACTTTTAGCTATACATATACTTTTGTATGATTGTACTCACCACAGGAAAGATTTTCCGGCTAAAAAATCACCAAGAATTTTTTCTGGAAGCCTCTAGTTTGAAGGAGCTTAACTTACTCTCAAAAGGACTAGAATGGAGCAAACTTTGCTCGTTGTGTAGCCGATGGTCGATTCTCTAGCAGCGTAGAACTTGGCTTTCACCAAAAATTTTCTGCGAAAAAAGTATTGCCAAGAAAGCAAAAGTACCATCTTCTCCTACATATTAGAGAAGGCAAAAAACTGTACTTTTAAAATCCCAACAATTTTTTCTCATTTGCAAAACGAGGAGATTCCGCCGTTTTCCTATCATTAGTAGTCCTTGGTCTACTCTACTAGAACCCACGTAAGCATTTTATGAAGCTCCGAGAGATCCCAGCATTTAGATAAGTTTAAGTCAAAGATTCTCGGCTCAAGATTTTCAAAAAATTTAGCATTAGTGAGCATTTTGTGGCACAAATCTTCGCTATTATAACATATATTTTTTGAAACAAATCTGAACATTTTCCATGCATTTAGGGCAAGTGGGATGAAGGTAAAAAACTTCAAGTTTGAGTTCCTCACCTTTGAAGGTATGGAACTTCGGTCTGAAGAAAGATTACCGAAAGCAAAAGTATACATCAGAAAATAGAAGAAACGAGCTTTCCGACAGTTAAGATTTTAGAGAAAAACGATTTTTGATTGAAAATTATGAACCAACCTAATAGATTAAAACGAGTATGTACAGATCATATAAGTCTTCATTGATGTAAACAGCACTATCACGTGAGCTATTTCTTCTTTCCTGATAGTGCACCCATCATGGTACCCAAAAAAGCGCCTCGAAGGGCGCCAGCTATTGGATCTGAATCACAGATAAATAGCGTAGTGGTACTTTGCTACAAGGAGTATATAGTCTATCACAAACAGAGTAATTACTTTGATATCCAAAACCATATCCAAAGGGCATTCCCCAGCCGTAACCCATGCCGAAAGGATATCCGAATCCCCATTGTGTAGTGGCAGGGAGAGCTAGCGAAATTGTTAACACGACAATAATGAGCATCCGATTCATTCCCAGAATTACGCTGCAAATCGTGTAATTAAGTTTTTTGAAGAATAAATCGAGTTAATGAAACAAGTAAACTCATTTGCATTTTGAAGAATAATCATACACACCCTTATAATAACTGTTTGGAAGAAAACCAAACATTAATTATGCTACGCGAAAGAAAATAGCCGAAAAAGGTATGCGAGGTATGCTGAAATTGGTCTAATCTTATGAAAGCATTCTACTTTGAGCTGTGATGAAGGGGGCACAGAAGTATGAATTACTGAATTATTCTTTTGAACGTGCTAGAAAAGTTCTGCGATGGTGAGGACTTGTTTCGGTCATGTATCACAGAAATGTTGGTGTCAGCTTATTCAATCATACCCCTCGATTCTTGCCAGAAGCTAATTTAGCTAGGGTAGCCTTGAGTTAGACTCAAAACTCTGAGAAGGATGTGTAGTCATACAAATGAAGGTTTTGGGTGCAAAAATATGCATATAATTAAGTTGGATTTCGAGACTACAAGTGTGACAACTCTAATAAGGGTGTCACGGCTTAGAATAGTTTACTTGAAGACTTCTCAGCACTAGATCACACTTTCAAGAAGTTGAATATATTTGACGCCTTGAAAATCTGGAAAATCTGCTAACAGACGTTTTCAGAGCCCATAGATTCTCAGAAAATTTCAGGCATTAAAGGAAAGTACGTCCTACGTTGATTTGCTTAGAGTTGAACTCAAAGAGAAAGTCCGAATGCTAGCGATTGCAGCTTAGGCTGCGTTCATACTGATTCGGAAGTTCGGGAACAGTTCCGGCACATAGCTCGAGTTGAGCGCTGTGCCGGAGGTGTTCCCGGACTTCGGGTTCAGTATGAACGCAGCCTTAAGTAAAAACTAAACTGCCAAAATTCAAATGAATTTGATGCAAAATGTTTTTTGATCGATGCTCGTATGGCACCGAAATTTCATTCTTGTGCAGCTTTACGGTTTCCAGGTCACCTGAAACTAATGTTTTTCTATTTTCTCAGTAATACCTACCTCAAAAACAATGTCCGCAAGGCTAAAACTACCTGGTTAAGTAGGACTTGTGGCTGATGTTTCGTATCGCTTGCGTCAAAGATTTCCGAGAAATGCTCGCTTGGTTTTCCAACTTATTACAGTTTATCCCAGTTATGTCTCTTCCCGGCTGTCAGCTTTACGAGTCTCATCAACATCGAGGTACTATTGCAATCAGAAGAGGCGAAATTCGGACCAGGCTATTTTTTGTGCCTATGAAAGATGTTGCCAAGATGTTGTCATCAAATAAAAACACAGTGTATAATGTAGAAAATGTATAATGTAATGTACAAATGAGTAATTTATGATATAGGATGTGAACTCAAGAAAAATGTCAATAGCAGATAGCGGTGGACCTTGCGAAACCTGTTATATATACTGTACTAAAAAGTTTCAAAAGTGATGTACGCGCAAGAAAGATGTTTCGAGAATTCGCGAAAGTACCAATCACACCTTATTGTTTTCATTAACTGCGGTAGAACTATGTGCCGTACACAAGGAAAGGTAGTCTTGATCAGAAAACTAGCGGTAGACATAGATTACAGCAGGAACAAATCATAAATTTCAAAAAACAACAAATGAAACAGAACTATTTTGATCAGTGTTCTCGTCAAAACGTTAGTATGCAATTTTTCTTTTCAAATCCTTAAGTCTAGCATGGAATCCGCCCTCATGCAATACCACCATGATATAATTTTTTGAGGTTGTAAATGCTTTAGTGGCAAACTTTCTCCGGAGTTGATAGATCTCGTTAATGTCTCATCTTCTTCGTACGCTTTTGTCAGTGTGACCCTTTTGAATTTGACGTCAATTTTTCCGAAAAAATTTAGTTACATCGTAATATTCGGGTGCGCTACATGGTAAGACAAACTTCAAGGTATCATCGTTATCATCGTGCAAATGAATAAAAGCTTCTGATTGATTACATAATGCACTATCCATGATTCGTGTACCTGGAAAGTTCTACGTTTGGTAGGATTCTACGTTTTTTCTCCTCGAGTAATTGTCGAAATCTTCAGCCCTTTCAAAAAATGGTTTTTACTCATCTTTGCTAATTTTTATATCCATTTTCAACTTTTAGACCAGCTTTGAAACAGTTGAATAGAATAAAGAAAATGCAATACAGGACATTTTTCCGGCCTCTCTAGCTAGCTTTTTGAGTCTTTTTCGGAATTTTTTTAGAATAGTTTTAATGATGCTATCAATTTCCATATTGGGGCACCTCGATTCTCAAAAGACAATAAACGTCGAGCAACCAGAATTTCATTCGATGCGGCTTTTCTTCTCTTTCTGAAAGACATCCTGCCATTTTTATATGGATAGTATTTGAGAATAAAATCATCATAATTCTTATCTCCAGACTTGTCCCAGGCTGTCTCAGAAGATTCGGAATACAGTATTTTCAACCGCTAAACGCTGATCTGCTTGCTTCAACGTTGATTCATAAACCTTTTTGAAAGCTTCAGATTCCAAAGATTCATTGGTTTTGAAGCGGTTGTGTACTTTACTTCATAAATTCGCAAAAGTGAAGGCTTTTGGATACTCAAGATATGTTGAAAAGCTAGTTGATAATTTGTTGTATTGCATTTTGTTTATTCTATCCAGTTGTTATCAAAGCTAGTCCAAAAATTGAAAATGAGGATTTTAGAAAATAGCTGGTCAAGATGGGTAAAACAGGGTTGGAGTTTCTGATGATTTTTTGACTGGATCAAAGAATTTTGAACAAAACATAAAAAGGAAGAAATTATGCATCGAACACTGTTTAAAGCGTTTATTTACCTTTATTCTAAGAGAATTAAGCATGGGTCTGAGAAAAGGCATGAACTTTCGGACCGACCTAATATATAAGATAAGGCCGTAAGCAATAGAAATCGCCTTATGGGCAAAAGCCTATGTCTTACGGGTTAGATGAGCACATGTAAGCAGGTAGCAAAAATTTAGAAGCAGGAAACTGTCAAATTTGTCTGCTTACCACTTATCAAAAATGCGTTTCTCGTCGATTAAAGAGGTAATTTTCGCTTGCTGCTGATAATAATTGCTACGTTCTCTTTTCTGCATCTAGTGTAATAAAGATGGTATTCGCAAATACTTCCTGCGTCTCTTCCTTTCCACTTTTCTCTTCCACGCAAGCGAGTCGATTCAGGACCCGGCACGAGTCGGTTTCGAAGGTTTCTGAAAACGAAGTCTCCCCTGACTTTCGGAAGTTTTACGAAGTCCCCTTTGACCTACCTACTCAAAAGAAGATGAGAAGAAACGTGCGATAAGAGTGAATATCAAGCTTGGAGCCAAATACTACGCATGCACAAGAGTTTGGCATTGGAGCGCGATATTTAACAAAGCGATTCATGAAGAAATTTAGGCAAAAAACAGAAGGAAGGAAATGATATGAAAATGTCTTCATGCAGGGATAGATTTTAGACCGAGAATCCTTCCATGCTAGAAAAATCCAAAACTTATGTGAAATGACAGAAGTATATGCTCCAGACGATCTCAGATCGTCTGGTGGCCGTCTGGAGACGATCTAATTTTGGAAAGGATATTACTTCACTTAAATTTTCAGATCTTTTTACATAATTCTCTCGCAAATAAATTTCTATATATACAGCTCAGTTTTAGTGTTCATATGATTCTGTGTACGCTCTAAACAAGCAATTTGTCTATTTTAGCCTTGCTTTTAAATCGCGCGCACTTTTCGCCATGCAGGGTAGTGCATGTCAATCGCGTAAATAACCTGTTCGAAAAACTTGCGTTCGACTAAACGGCGCTCATTCTTGGTGCTCGGCCCCGGCTCGTCAAAAACGATATCTCCTTTGCTTTTTGCTCCAAAACCGAAGTCCAGCCTGCTTCCAGACGATCTGTGCCGGGCCCTGAGTCGATTCCATTGACTGTTACCTGACTCTCTAATGCGGTCAGTTGAAGGCAGTGTCAGGACAAGGTTGGGGCGCCCGGAAATTCGTACCATGCGGAAGTGGACCCTTTGGACGGCGCAGGTGCGAGGCCATAACGTCCGACCAGTTGCAAGGAAAACGGTGTTGCGAGGCATTACGGGCACCGTCCACCCAAATCCTCTTTCATGTTCTTGTCGTTCCGGGGCCTTCTCTTGCGCCTGATTCCGAATATCAAGTCTAGAATTTGCGAAAACTCGATGAATCCCTTTCCGCAGAAATCGCAGGCCGGTTTTATGCAACGGTGATTGGCTGGGTGTGCGAGAATGGGAACGGAAATTGACAAAAGTCACGCCCACTCAAAAGGGAGGAGCCAAGGTGGCGAATCCGTCATCCAAAGCAAATTACGAAGCAATTTGCTTCAGAAGCAACTTTTGACAACGCAAGTTTGGACGAGCATATATTTGGGAGCAGGGCAGGCCCAAGTCGAATAAAATTAGGCTGGACTTCGTTTTTAGGAAAAAAGGAATACTTTTCCGTTGTCCGGACCCCTTTTTGCGAAAAGATTATTGTTTTCTTTCTCTGAAACCATATTTAGCTCCAGCTTCATAAAAAAGAGTGTCAACCTTCTGCCACGTGTCAAAAAATTTGACATGTTATCTACCCGTTTGACAGTCTTAGCAAGAGTTTGCCTTATTTACCAACCAACGTGATTTGAATATATTCAAATAATAATGTAACCTATTTGATTTAACAACATCAAAAATGTTGATAAACGTCATAAGCATGCCATTCCGCTTTCAATGAAAGTGGATTTGCCTAGAAAAAAGAAGTGCGCTGAATTTTTACAATCTGAACGGTGACACAAGTGGCAGCGGTGTAGGCAAGCCATTAGCGCTATACTTTCCTGGCTGAATTTGCATGCCAGAAACAGTTTGAGGAGGAAGATTTTGTCAAACTGAACTAAAATTATGGAAAGGAAATTATGGAATTATGGAAATTATTAAATTATGGAATTATTAAAATTATGGAAATTAAGGAAATTATGAACTAAAACTAATTTTTTCCTTGACATGTGCCAGGGAGATAGCCTTATAGGATCTATGGGAAAATTTCCTGAAATAAAGCAGTATTTTACAGGGTGCGGCAAAAGTCTGGGAGCTTAACTTTGCAGTACTGCAATTAAAAAGATACTGATGGTTTTGAATTAAATTTTATGCCACATGATGCTGCGGTCATCCTCTACAGAATACACTTTATTTGGCTGGAAATGGCTGCCATATGTATTTGTAGGAATGGAAATTACCAAACTAGTACTTTTGCAAAGCGAAAAAACCAGAATTTTTGGCATTTACAATTTTTGCTGTAGCTAGAACTGCTGTTAATATTTTACAAAACTTCGATGCACACAACATAGAAGAGGCTTTGCGCTATTGTATCTTAGTTTTGCTTTTGCCAGTAGCTGTTCTTGCATGAACGGAAAATAAAAGTTTGCAAATGTTACCTACGTGCCAGTGGAAATCCGTCTTCAGAACAAATTTAAAAGCTATAGAATGCTCAACAGGCACTGGGACCAAGGCTGTATTTTTTGCATACGTCTTCTAAATGAGAATCTATTATAATTCGGCCATGGGAACACTTTTCATACTTTTTAAACAATATTTTTAAGTTTTTATTCGCGCAATTGTAGCCAAAATTCCGATATGCGACGTACACGCTTCTAATTCAAAATCCAATATTTTTATTCCTAAGCAATGCAAAAAATTCTTTTGGAAGTATGTTGTAGACAAAAGTTCGCTCTATCATGCTGCGCATTTGCCAAGGTAAAAGAAGCAGTTATTTTGAAGGCGTGGGGCGAATTCCATTACGACTACCTGCGTGCCATGATAGGTGGACCTGCCAAGATTTTGTAGGGCTGCGTAAAAGCCAAAAGAGGCAGTTTTGCAATTCAAGAACTGGGCTGTATCTGCAATGGCTTGAATTATGTGTGCGCCAAATTTTTCGTTTCTAGGTACTTCCCTTCTCGTTTTGTACGAAAAAGTACTAGGCTCCCAGACTTTTGCCACACTCTGTATAATTACGAAAAGTACCCAAAAAGGAAAAAAATATCGCTTTGCGAGGTCCGGACGGTGTGTCAGGAAAAAAATCTTGTACATGCATTACTAGCGAGGTATGTGGGGAAAAATTGCACATACTGTGTGCAAGACAATTCAACACATTCCTGAAATGCCAAAAGCGACCACTCAGTCGAGCACAAGCTTTGAAGAAAGGGTTTACACGATGGACTTGCTCCATCATGTCGTGCAAAAAGCGCGCTATTTGGAAGCAAAGCCAAAATCAAAGAAGTGCTTGTTAACAGCGTAAAGACAAGCAAATCACATCAAGTTTGGACTGTAGGCATGGTATTTGGAATTCATGGAAGAACTATGTTGAAGAAATCCTGAAAACTGATGTGAAGTAGTACCTTTTTCAAAATTAATCCATTTTTAAACGGTCACCATACGATCTGAAATCGTAAGGAGCATATATTCTTGTAAGTTCACATACTTGGATTTTTTTTTATCATGGACAGCCTCGGTCAAGAATCTTTCTATAAGCATGAAAACATTTTCATATCGTTGCCTTTTCTTTTTTTTGGTTCAAATTCTTCATAAATTGCTTTGTTAGATATCGCGCTCTAATACCAAACCCTTATGCATGAGTATTCATTCCACTATTCTCAATCTTATTTTACGTTCTTCTTTTTAGACTAGTGAATCTTTCTGTTCTCATCTTCTCCTAGGTCGATGGTTTTCAATGAGGGTCAAATCTTTGTGAAATTTTCAACAATCAGGGGAAAATTCGTCCTCACAGACCTTGGAAACCGACTCTTGTCGAGCCATTGTTTGCAGCCCTCTACTGTTAGGCATCAAAATTCCATCGTCCCTTTTTCGGTGGACGGTGCCTTTGAGGGCGGGCTTCCCCATCTGTGGATCTATTGATCTGCAGCAAAGTAAGCATGCCTGCACAGTCCCAGGGTCCTGCAGCGACTCTGCGTCTCAGCTCTGGGGGACGAGG